ATATATGTATATATTATATATCCATCACATATTCAATTAATTCAAGTAAAGATTTCAAGTTTTTTTTTGAAATTTTTTACCGTTACAATCTCTTTTTTAAAAAATAGCCTCTTATAGTATGTTCCTATTGCCTTCCTTAAAACAGTTTATTTGATTTAAAACGTTAATGAAATTAGGTTAAATATGAAAAAAACTAAACAATCAAAACCTCTCCTACGACTTTTACAGAACTTTCTGATACATAAAAGCTTTTTCATGTGCATAAATCAACTTATGCCAATGGAAAACAACCAAATCTTGATTTAATTAACATAAATTGATTTAGCTGCAGTGGGAACATGGCATTAAATTATATTCAAGTTTAAAGCATAATTTCCAAATATAGATGATTTCCATCGCACTTAACATTTCGTTCACTGTGTTATTAATATTTTGACAAATTCAATACAATATATCTAAACTTAACACAATACATGGAGCAGTTGTATGTGTAGAGAAGTATGAGCTAAGGAGATATTTACACATGATATGTAAATCGACTATAACAAAATCCTTGAGATAAAATTAAACCTCCAAAAATACCGATTTGTTAATTGAAAAAAAATTATTATGCTTTCTTGATCATACATTTAATATAAGAAATATATTAAAATATATTAATGATAAATGTTTGTTATATTAAATAGTCTAACCTTATCAAATAGTGTTTCCGATTTGAAAATCTGTATTTAAACTAGATTTACACCTGATCTGTAGAATTTCGTTGCCCAGTCGAACATTTTTAAAGTAATCTACTCATTATTCTACTGATTATTTTTCATAATCAACTATATGGAATCGAATCACATTTTGTTTGCAAACTCATATAAAATAGCTGTTAATTTCAAGGTGACCTTGATACTCTGGCATAATATCTGAAGTGTTATAAATGAGTATCTAGTGTAACTTATTTCGATGAAAATTTTAGAGTGAATGACAGAGCCGAAGCTGGAGTTTACTCAAAAAAACTAAAGCTAACTCGCACTCTGCATATAGGAAAATATATTTTCGTCTATCAGGCGGTACTTATAGCGGTCTAACATGCTCTGGATCAGATATTGGATTATCAGGTATATTAGAAAAAGATTTTGATAGCGCTGGACAATCAAGCAGTTATCAAAAGCATGCAAAACACGTGCATAGTCAACAGCTTAGTACAAGAAAGTGTCATGAAGCTCATGGAATGTGCTCGTGGATATGAGGCAACAAACCCAACGTCCCGTTGCGTCAACGGCGCGCTATCCCAACGTCCAGCAATATATGCTTACGAGTTGAAAATGAAAGTTGTGCTGAAAGTGAATCTCGAAACGGCAAAACGGCATAACTAATAAGATACTTTCGTACAAAATTAACCGATAAATTATATATGAATTGAATTCTTAAAATTTATAAATTCAAAATTATAAATAATTAAAAATTATGGATCTATTTTATATCAGTTATTTATCTCCAAGTCATTTCATTATGCGATATCTGCTACTAAATGTCATGAACTAACGCTCACGTTCATTCAGAATAGTATACAAAAATAAAAAAAAAATTAAAACCAAATAAATATTATGTATTAAAAAATTTAAATGCGTGTGGACAGGTGTTTTTAAATGTTTAAAATTATAATAAAAAAATAAATTAGCTGTGACAAGTCAAGCAAATTATTTTAATGAATACTCGTATGACACATCAAATACCAAATATCGCTGAAGACAACAAAATATAGATATTAACTCAATTTAGCTGAAATTTACGACTTAACTAATAGGTGGGTTTAACTTAAATGTTATAATTAATTTTCAGTATTTTTTTTTGTGTCTTTTTCAATATATTATATTAATTTTTTTGTTTATGGTTAAAATCATTACTCAACTTTGCGAAACTGACCCTACTAACCATTTTGGCGCTTCAACTAATTCTTGTTTGCATAAATTATATATATATATATATATATATATGAATTGTATATATTGATTGTTTTTATAAATATATATGTACAGATGTATATATTTATTAACATTTATATATGAATACGTGCTTCAGCACTTTGAGTAAAATAAACACGGCAGTTGCGTATATTAAACAGTAAACAAAATATATTTATTTTTTTTATGAAGTCGGAAGAAATTTGGAAGTAAAAAGAAATAAATCGAAGATATTTAACATTTCTTAATGAAGTTAAAATTTCAAATAATGACAAATTTTAGTTATAAAATGTATAGATAGTTTAAATGACTTTTATTGCAAAAATAATTTGTGTTAATTTAAGTAAAAGCCACTAACTTATAAGTAAAGTGTGACGCAATGTCTGGCTTGTCTACAACAAAGAAAAGACTTGTTGGCTTTAAAAAAATATCAATTTGGTCATTAACGGGGAATCATCTCGAAGAGTACAGAAATCACTCTTATAATGTACGAAATCAAGGCAAAGTAAATAAAAGTGCAGTTAAATAATATCTTCACTTTTAGCGTGAAATGGTGACTCAACACTCTTCGAGGTGCTTCATAATTTTCAGGTTTTCCGTTTCGGTTTGGTAGAAAGTGCATCAATAACATTTTTCAACGAAAAGACTGTAAAAATATTTAATGTTCATTTAATGCACAAGCAGAAGCTTTTATTTTGCATTATTTTTGGCAGACCACAAACCACAGACCACGGACCACGCTTATTTCAGTTGAATTTAAAGTTCCGAAACTGACTGCTAAACCACAAATTGTCGTTGAATAATTTATGTAAAAATATAGCGAAATGATTTAATTTATGTAAAATCATAAAAATGAAATTCTTGAAAATTCTACCTAACAATATGAGTTAATATTTTATTCCTTAAACGTACGCTTGTGGCGAACTTGAAAAAATTATCGGAAGTTGAATATTAATTTATATTAAGAAAATATGTTCTACATACAAACATTGCAACTTCAGTCAAGTTATCACAAATATTCAAATGAACATATATATTCAAGTACTAATTTAATACTACAATGCTT